AAACATAGTGTTGACGAGAACGGCTTGCAATAGGTGCATTACATTTGCGCGCAGCTTTAGATTACATTTGCGCGCATTCTTTTACAGGTAAACTCTTGTAAATACAGGTAGATTATACTTATTAATTTATTTTACTATTATTTTCGAGTAGGATAAGTCCGTTTTATTATGCACATGCACTTACACAATTCGCTAAAATTAGGATACAGAATACTATTTACACTGAAATATTCGTAATTGAGTTACATGTATTTATCATCTCACGCCATTACGGGATTTCTCATGATCACTTTATATTTTTTAGAATTCTATATGTAAAGATCTCATTAGAGCTCATGTTTTTTTTTATAGAAATCCGTAATAGCGTAATGCGCGGAGGTTACAAAAGAGGCATTGAAAGCGTTATTACATTTTAATGCTACAACCATGACATAATGAGTTTTATCAAATTTTTGGTTTGTTTTCCTATGCATTCTTGTGACGTTGCTGATAAGTATCTACTTACTATGTAACGTTAAAAGGAGTATGCACTTTCTATGTTCCTTCAATCCTTACTGAATGATAATGTACTTCCTATGTTCTGTTAGTGTTTGCTGATGGAGTATGTACTTCCTATGTTCCGTTAGAGTGAGTACTTCCTATGTTCCGTTAGTGTTTGCTTGTGGAAAATGTACTTCCTATGTTCCGTTAGTGTTTGCTGATTGGAGTATGCACTTCCTATGTTCCGTCAATCTTTACTGAAGGAATATGTACTTCCTATTTTCCGTCACTCCTTACTGAAGGAGTATGTATACAGTATTTGTTTTTTTCTCATTGTTGAAGGCCGTACGGTTGCTTACAATTTCTTACATCCACTTCATTCGAACTTTGGTGGATAGTTGTTTCATTGGCAATCATACCACATTTCCTCATATTTATATGCACTACTAGTACCTATATAATCATATAGTTATTGTTAGCTTTATAACCATGTAATATAAATGTCGTTTTCCTTCCTTTAATTCTATGTTTTGCGGTGTTTATGTTCTTGATTGAGTGTTTGAAATATGTATCAGAACTTCTTTGCACTTTTTGCACTTTTTGCGACTTTATTATATGAAATAATGAAGTGCTGCAGCTAATAAATGATGAGAATTTAGGAAGAAGGGATTTCGTTGTAGACGGAAAAAATGTTACATTTTTTACAAGGTTGCAAAAATTGATTGATGTCTTTTGGTTTTTTGTGTTGTTAGGTTACTGTCTCACTGATGTATACATTACATCGCATCTCCTACTATTTATATTTAAACGTTACTGTCTCACTGATGTATACCTTACATCGCATCTCCTACTATTTATATTTAAACGTTACTGTCTCACTGATGTATACCTTACATCGCATCTCCTACTATTTATATTGAAAGGTTACTGTCTCACTGATGTATACCTTACATCGCATCTCCTGTCTCACTGATGTATACCTTACATCGCATCTCCTACTATCTATATTGAAAGGTTACTGTCTCACTGATGTATACCTTACATCGCATCTCCTACTATTTATATTGAAACGTTACTGTCTCACTGATGTATACCTTACATCGCATCTCCTACTATTTATATTGAAAGGTTACTGTCTCACTGATGTATACCTTACATCGCATCTCCTACTATTTATATTGAAAGGTTACTAACTCTCTGATGTATACCTTACATCGCATCTCCTACTATTTATATTGAAAGGTTACTGTCTCACTGATGTATACCTTACATCGCATCTCCTACTATTTATATTGAAAGGTTACTGTCTCACTGATGTATACCTTACATCGCATCTCCTACTATTTATATTGAAAGGTTACTGTCTCACTGATGTATACATTATATCGCATCTCCTACTATTTATATTGAAAGGTTACTGTCTCACTGATGTATACCTTACATCGCATCTCCTACTATTTATATTGAAAGGTTACTGTCTCACTGATGTATACCTTACATCGCATCTCCTACTATTTATATTGAAAGGTAACTGTCTCACTGATGTATACCTTACATCGCATCTCCTACTATCTATATTGAAAGGTTACTGTCTCACTGATGTATACCTTGCATCGCATCTCCTACTATCTATATTGAAACGTTACTGTCTCACTGATGTATACCTTACATCGCATCTCCTACTATCTATATTGAAACGTTACTGTCTCACTAATGTATACCTTACATCGCATCTCCTACTATTTATATTGAAACGTTACTGTCTCACTGATGTATACCTTACATCGCATCTCCTACTATCTATCTATATTGAAAGGTTACTGTCTCACTGATGTATACCTTACATCGCATCTCCTACTATCTATATTGAAAGGTTACTGTCTCACTGATGTATACATTACATCGCATCTCCTACTATCTATATTGAAAGGTTACTGTCTCACTGATGTATACCTTACATCGCATCTCCTACTATTTATATTGAAAGGTTACTGTCTCACTGATGTATACCTTACATCGCATCTCCTACTATTTATATTGAAAGGTTACTGTCTCTCTGATGTATACCTTATATCGCATCTCCTACTATTTATATTGAAAGGTTACTGTCTCTCTGATGTATACCTTACATCGCATCTCCTACTATCTATATTGAAAGGACGTTAAGCAACCAACAATCAATCAATTAATTTATATTGAAAGGTTACTGTCTCACTGATGTATACCTTACATCGCATCTCCTACTATCTATATTGAAAGGTTACTGTCTCACTGATGTATACCTTGCATCGCATCTCCTACTATCTATATTGAAACGTTACTGTCTCACTGATGTATACCTTACATCGCATCTCCTACTATCTATATTGAAACGTTACTGTCTCACTAATGTATACCTTACATCGCATCTCCTACTATTTATATTGAAACGTCACTGTCTCACTGATGTATACCTTACATCGCATCTCCTACTATCTATATTGAAAGGTTACTGTCTCACTGATGTATACCTTACATCGCATCTCCTACTATCTATATTGAAACGTTACTGTCTCACTGATGTATACCTTACATCGCATCTCCTACTATCTATATTGAAAGGTTACTGTCTCACTGATGTATACCTTACATCGCATCTCCTACTATCTATATTGAAACGTTACTGTCTCACTGATGTATACCTTACATCGCATCTCCTACTATCTATATTGAAACGTTACTGTCTCACTAATGTATACCTTACATCGCATCTCCTACTATTTATATTGAAACGTTACTGTCTCACTGATGTATACCTTACATCGCATCTCCTACTATCTATATTGAAAGGTTACTGTCTCACTGATGTATACCTTACATCGCATCTCCTACTATCTATATTGAAAGGTTACTGTCTCACTGATGTATACCTTACATCGCATCTCCTACTACCTATATTGAAAGGTTACTGTCTCTCTGATGTATACCTTACATCGCATCTCCTACTATTTATATTGAAAGGTTACTGTCTTACTGATGTATACCTTACATCGCATCTCCTACTATTAATATTGAAAGGTTATTGTCTCACTGATGTATACCTTACATCGCATCTCCAACTATTTATATTGAAACATTACTGCCTCACTGATGTATACCTTACATCGCATCTCCTACTATTTATATTGAAAGGTTACTGTCTCACTGATGTATACCTTACATCGCATCTCCTACAATCTATATTGAAAGGTTACTGTCTCTCTGATGTATACCTTACTTCGCATCTCCTACTATTTATATTGAAAGGTTACTGTCTCACTGATGTATACCTTACATCGCATCTCCTACTATTTATATTGAAAGGTTACTGTCTCACTAATGTATACCTTACATCGCATCTCCTACTATCTTTATTGAAAGGTTACTGTCTCTCTGATGTATACCTTACATCGCATCTCCTACTATCTATATTTAAACGTTACTGTCTCACTGATGTATACCTTACATCGCATCTCCTACTATCTTTATTGAAAGGTTACTGTCTCACTGATGTATACCTTACATCGCATCTCCTACTATTAATATTGAAAGGTTACTGTCTCTCTGATGTATACCTTACATCGCATCTCCTACTATCTATATTGAAGGGTTACTGTCTCACTGATGTATACCTTACATCGCATCTCCTACTATCTATATTGAAACGTTACTGTCTCACTGATGTATACCTTACATCGCATCTCCTACTATCTTTATTGAAAGGTTACTGTCTCACTGATGTATACCTTACATCGTATCTCCTACTTTCTATATTGAAAGGTTACTGTCTCTCTGATGTATACCTTACATCGCATCTCCTACTATCTATATTGAAAGGTTACTGTCTCGCTGATATATACCTTACATCACATCTCCTACTGTTTATATTGAAACGTTACTGGATAATACCCGTAAACTTGGAATATTTTTCCTGGAGATTTCCGTTTTATTTATTGAATAAACTTACATATTGATATAGTAGGACTTTCCATAGGGTAGTCGGATAATTTACAAATGAATACACCATGCTTTTTGTTCAGTTAATTTAATTGCTTTGGAAATAATTTTAATAGGACACGGAGGGAAGCTAATTCCTCGTTCCTTAATGTACTAACTAAGATTATTTTCCTTTATTTAACGAGTTGTTATCAACACAACCTTACATTGAAACAGTTAAACGTTCCACTGCTTTTTATGGTGGCCGGTTAAGGCAATTTCTCGTTTTCGCCCTTCATATTCTATAGGGCGAAAACGCGAAATCACAAAGTCGAAAAGGCGAAAACGAGAAGTCGAAAACGCGAAAACGCGGAATATTTTTTCTTTCCGATTTCGCGTTTTCGCCCTATACAATATAAAGGGCGAAAACGCGAAATGGCCTTAACCGGCAACCATAGCTTTTATCTTATGGACGACAAACGTAGCGGAACCATTGTATGAACAACAACAGTTTTTTGAAACCTAAAATAATAACTAAATGTATTAGAAATACCTGAAGCACAGACTAAAATAATAACTAAATGTATTAAAAATACCTGAAGCACAGACTAAAATAATAACTAAATGTATTAAAAATACCTGAAGCACAGACTAAAATAATAACTAAATGTATTAAAAATACCTGAAGCACAGACTAAAATGAAGGAAACCCAAAGTCCCAAGCATATGTGTTAAAATAACCATGGTCCCAAACACCTGTGTTAAAATGCCTTAGTCCCAAATACATGTGATACAATAACCTCAGTCCCAAGCACATGTGTTACAATAACACTAGTCCCAAGCACATGTGTTACAATAACATTAGTCCAAAGCACATGTGTTACAATAACATTAGCCCCAAGCACATGTGTTAAAATAACCTTTGTCCCCAATGTGTTACAATAACCTTAGTCCCAAGCACATGTGTTAAAATAACCTTAATCCCCAATGTGTTACAATAACATTAGCCCCAAGCACATGTGTTAAAATAACCTTAGTTCCCAATGTGTTACAATAACCTTAGTCCCAAGCACATGTGTTAAAATAACCTTAATCCCCAATGTTTTACAATAACATTAGCCCCAAGCACATGTGTTAAAATAACCTTAGTTCCCAATGTGTTACAATAACCTTAGTCCCAAGCACATGTGTTAAAATAACCTTAATCCCCAATGTTTTACAATAACATTAGCCCCAAGCACATGTGTTAAAATAACCTTAGTCCCCAATGTGTTACAATAACATTAGCCCCAAGCACATGTGTTAAATAACCTTAGTCCCCAATGTGTTACAATAACCTTAGTCCCAAGCACATGTGTTAAAATAACCTTAGTCCCAAGCACAAGTGTTGAAATAACCTTAGTCCCCAATGTGTTATACAATAACCTTAGTCCCAAGCACATGTGTTACAACAATCAAAATTTTGAAATGAACAAAAGGTGTGGAGAAAAAACTGATGTCTTTAATGGTATCAACCCCTGTTCCCTTTAAAGATATCGCATCTGATATGTTTAGGATATAGTTCCACTAATTGCCTTCTCAAGTAGTATGTGGGATATCGTGCCACCTTTTGTTTAACTTATTTGCGATATCAAGGTACTATTCGTTCTCATTATTTCATGATATACATATTTGTTACTATTTCTTCTATGATATATTTCTTCTGCTCTCTAAAGTTACTATTCGCTGCTTGTAACACCAACTTTCATTACCGATGACAAATGGCGGTTTCAGTCATTTAATTCCTATAAAATAAATACCAAGCTGTTAATGATGACAAATGGCTGTCATGACAGTAAAAACCTCGTCTGACAGCCTCTGTTTATAAATATTTACCAAACTTTTACGTAAATGACATAATTCAGATGTTTAATTTTAGAAGAAAAAAAATATTGCAGCAAATATTATTTTTATCAAATGCGATATTTCCCCTTTCGGCATATTAAGTTTAATCTATCATGTCTACATGAATAATCCCATAACTTGTATTCACCGCGGTGGCAGTGTGGTGTACAAAACTCCTGGGTGTTCTGTCCATGGGTCTTTACGTCTAGTAAGCACCCACGTTTCTGTCCTGATTTTGGAGAATCTAATGGCAAATTTTGTTTAAGTGTGAGCCTTTATTACCATCCATTGAAGAATTTAATCTTCAAGACAATCCATATGACTTTTATAAGACAGATAACCATCCACGAACGACCGAAAAAATGAACCAACTCACAGGTCACCGTGCGGCCTTCAACAAATAGCATATAGTAAGCAATAAAAGGTCCCGGAATGAATAACTGTGTAACAACTCAATAGAGAAAACAAACGGCATAAATTATACCACATTATAGCAAACATAAACCAACGTACGGCAATCACTGGATTAAAGACTCCTGGCCTGGGAGGCTTTACCGAACCCTTCCCCAGTTTTGTGCCAAATACAAAAAAGTTTATACTTTTCTGACATTGACCTAATATTGTTTTTATACTGCAACTTAAATTAATACATTGATAGCTATTTAAGTTGTAACACAAATTGCAAACTTATTTTTCATCCCTTAAAGAACCACTGATTGTGGAAAAGTGATCCATGATAAAATTGACATTGAACAAAATATAGCTTTGTTACTATATTTAGGATATAAACACAGCTTGTTGCAGTTTAAAGAATAATCGTAAGAAATATGTCCGTAAGAGTTCATCCCTCCCTTAGCCTGTGACAGTTGTGTGGCAACACAGCATAAGAACAAACTGTAAAAATCAGTTTGGAAGGGTTTGGCTCATCAGACTTTAACCAAGCGTAAAAAAACCCTAACAAATTAACAATAAGATAATAGACACACAGCGCCGATCTAAGAGAACTTGCAGTTACTGAAAGCTAGTTCTAACTTAAAGATTAATTTTAATTTATAAATAAATCATGTCAAGTTGAACTTCGAAATTTGTTTGTCATGGTTTGTGGGGTCTCGTGTTGCAAGAATACTATCTGTGGCGTATTGTGTTGCCGGAACAATGCCTGTGTAGTCTTGTGTTGCCATATCAATGTCTTTTGAGTTGCGTGTTGCCAGATTGATATATGTGAAGTCTTGTGTTACCAGAACAATGTCTGTGGAGTCTTGTATTGCCATAGCGATGTCTGTTGAATTTTGTGTTGCCAGAACAGTGTAAAGTTTATTTTGAGAATCTTAAAATTAATGTTTCCTCAAATTAGGAATGTTTGTTAGAGCTGTTAGATAATCTATACAATCTTCATCACGCATGTCATTTATCTGATTAAGAAGTCTTGATCAGCAAAGTGTTTGAAGTATCCATTACTTGGAAGATAAATGTAAAGCGATTAAGTGACATTGGAAAATAGCTTAAGGGTGCTATCGCCGATACTTGATGGGAAAAGTCGTATTTAGACATGATCACCGAGAATAAATCGGCACAAAATATGATCATCCAAAGTAATTTGTATCATAGATAGTGCTGAGGATTGTGGAAAACTCAAACTGTAAAAGACCAGCAAATGATCAGCAGTTAATGATATACGGATAATGTGAGGAAACCACCACAGTGGTCATCGTAGAACAAAAACGTATATGCAACGCCAATATAATATAAACATGTGCACAAGGGATGATAATTTGCACTTCTATTTTGTTCTCGTTTCTGCTAATTTCCTCTATATCGTAAAAGAAAGTAAGAAATAAGAAGAAACACGGTTGTAAATCGGCTTGCCAATAAGTAAAATAACAAAAATACCGAACTCCAAGGGAAATTCAAAACGGAAAGTCCTTTATAAAATGGCAAAATCAAAAGCTCAAACACATCCAACGATTGGAAAACAACTGTCATATTGATTGACTACTCCTCCCTCTGCCCCCACCCCCAGAAAAACAAAATCATTTGCTCCGATCATATATTAAACTAACTTTTATAAACCCACTTGTGTTAATTATTATGTATAAAGTTAATAGTTAATCTTACTTTGAATTTTGTATAACCTTTATGTTTCTCTCTAATTTATTTGTGCTGAATTATATGTACTGAGTGTGTGTAAAACGATGGGATGGTTGTCTGGAATCACCTAAGCCACCGACAACTCTTAGACTGAGTGTGTGTAAAAAGGTGGGATGGTTTTCTGGAATCACCTAAGCCACCGACAACTCTTAGACTGAGTGTGTGTAAAAAGGTGGGGTGGTTAACATTATCTGGCATCTAAGACACCGACTACTCTTAAACTGAGTGTGTAAAAAGGTGGGGTAGTTATCTGGTATCACATAAGCCATAAACCACTCTTAGACTGAGTGTGTGTGAAAAGGTAGGGTAGTTATCTAATATCACATAAGTCATAAACCACTCTTAGACTGAGTGTGTGTGAAAAGGTAGGGTAGTTATCTAATATCACATAAGTCATAAACCACTCTTAGACTGAGTGTGTGTGAAAAGGTAGGGTAGTTATCTAATATCACATAAGTCATAAACCACTCTTAGACTGAGTGTGTGTGAAAAGGTAGGGTAGTTATCTAATATCACATAAGTCATAAACCACTCTTAGACTGAGTGTGTGTGAAAAGGTAGGGTAGTTATCTAATATCACATAAGTCATAAACCACTCTTAGACTGAGTGTGTGTGAAAATGTGGGGTGGTTATCATTATCTGGCATCTAAGACACCGACCACTCTTAGACTGAGTGTGTGTAAAAAGGTGGGGTAGTTATCTGGTATCACATAAGCCATAAACCACTCTTAGACTGAGTGTGTGTGAAAAGGTAGGGTAGTTATCTAATATCACATAAGCCATAAACCACTCTTAGACTGAGTGTGTGTGAAAAGGTAGGGTAGTTATCTAATATCACATAAGCCATAAACCACTCTTAGACTGAGTGTGTGTGAAAAGGTAGGGTAGTTATCTAATATCACATAAGCCATAAACCACTCTTAGACTGAGTGTGTGTGAAACGGTGGGGTGGTTATCATTATCTGGTATCACCTAAGCCACCGACCACTCTTAGACTGAGTGTGTGTAAAAAAGGTGGGTGGCTATCATTATCTGGTATCACCTAAACCACCGACCACTCATAGACTGAGTGTGTGTAAAAAGGGTGGGTGGCTATCATTATCTGGCATCACCTAAGCCACCGACCACTCTTAGACTGAGTGTGTGTAAAAAAGGTGGGTGGCTATCATTATCTGGTATCACCTAAACCACCGACCACTCTTAGACTGAGTGTGTGTAAAAAAGGTGGGTGGCTATCATTATCTTGCATTACCTAAGCCACCGACTACTCTTAGACTGAGTGTGTGTAAAAAAGGTGGGTGGCTATCATTATCTGGCATCACCTAAGCCACCGACCACTCTTAGACTGAGTGTGTGTAAAAAAGGTGGCTGGCTATCATTATCTGGTATCACCTAAGCCACCGACCACTCTTAGACTGAGTGTGTGTAAAAAAGGTGGGTGGCTATCATTATCTGGCATCACCTAAGCCACCGACCACTCTTAGACTGAGTGTATGTAAAAAAGGTGGGTGGCTATCATTATCTAGCATCACCTAAGCCACCGACCACTCTTAGACTGAGTGTATGTAAAAAAGGTGGGTGGCTATCATTATCTGGCATCACCTAAGCCACCGACCACTCTTAGACTGAGTGTGTGTAAAAAAGGTGGGTGGTTATCATTATCTGGTTACACCTAAGCCACAGACCACTCTTAGAATGACTGTGTGTAAAAAGATGGGGTGGCTACCATTATCTGGTACCACCTTAGCCACCGACCACTGTTAGACTTACGGTGTATATATAAAGGTGGGGTGGTTATCATTATAATTTGATTTTAGATTTCTTGACGGGAAAAAAAATATAGAAGGGTAGTGAAACAAGTTGCTTTAAAAAAACCAACATTGATTAAAAAATGTTGTTCCTACATGTTATTGATAAACACTGTTTCTTTTTTAATTAGATTTGGAAAAAAATAAGATTGTCCGGAATAAACCAATGCCCCGACAAAAGATGAAAGATCGTTTCCTACGTCGTTTTGTTTATATATAAAACCGTATGTGAGTTGATTATACTTGTTGACCTAGATTGTCATTCTGATGATATTGGTCATACAAAGATTTTTGGTGACTTTCTAAACCTGACTCATTGTCAAATTATGTAGAAGTTAAACATCTAAGGTAGATTTTCAATTGTTACAGTTTCTCAACAATTTTAGTTTCACTTGGTTAGCCTTATCTTAAAGGTAAATTGATTCAATTTAAATCTTTACAAACCAAATATGTATTTTGAATTGTGTATTGAAAATGTTTTATTAGCGAATCATTTACCTGTGCTTAAAACTGGTATTA